GGGAGGAGGGCTGCCGATGGAGGAGGAAGGAGGGGGCGGCCGCAGGCGAAGGGAGGAAGGCGTGGTGGGAGGAGGAGGGACGGAAGGAGGGAGTACCTCGGTGTGGACGGATGACGGCGGCGACGGTGACGAACGACGACGGTTATCGGCGCGGGCGAGAGTGACTGAGAGGGAGAAGGAGTGAGAGAGAGGTCGGCCGTGTGGGGGATAAGGTAGGGTTAGTAGTAGCTTGTGTATGCAAAAGCGCTACAGCTAAGGAGAATAGCAGTAGCGCTAGGCGAGTATACGCGCTACTGCTAAGTTGGGGTAGCAGTAGCGCCTTGCTATAAAAAGAGCTACTGCTAAGTGTAAGTATGCAAAAATACATTGTCTGTCAATGCAAAAATAGATTGGCCATCAATGATCTTTTTGTGTACAATCTGAATTGTCAATATGAGTCCTCTTTGATAGGAACCGGAGAAGACTCATATTGCGGCCACAAATTCTACACACAGAGTTCAGTGAAGACCAAGTGGTTGTGATAGTTTGAGAAGTAACATATTTAAGGTGGTAAACACCCTGTTCGCGGAGCGAGGTGGGACTAAACTTGTGGGCTGAACTGAGCAGTAGCGAGTTTTATAGAAGTGCGTTGCTGCTAACATCTACAACAGTAGCGCGGTGCGGTATAGGGCGCTACTGCTATAACTAGCTGGACGGCGAGGTCATGACAATTAGAGCAGTAGCGCAGTTTAGAGGGGACGCACTACTGCTATTTTTCTTTCAGCAACGCGTTTTTCTGAAACGCGCTGCTGCTAAATAACAGTAGCGTTATATTTTAAAAAGCGCTACTGGTAAGATTTTGTGTATAAGGTTTTCCCTAGTAGTGGAAACCGCCATGGCCACCTCCGTCACCAATGGCACGAGAGCTGGACGAAGCCTGATCTTTATAATCATACTTTCTCTATTTTCTCATGAAAACAAGGGGCTGTATGGAGTTTTTTTTCCCAGATGACGACCTGTATAGAGTCACCTTAAAAGAAAAAGTAGTCTTTAGCGAAAGAAAGAAAAACTAGTCATTGAAAAACTAGTCGAGACTGGTTCTCTCCAAAACCCTCTATGATCATTTCGAAAAGAAGAAGAAAAAAACCCTTCAAAGTCGTGTTCAAACAAAAGAACCGCCTAATTTTAGACTTGAGAAACCCCAACAGTCCAACCCAGCTTAGATCTTGTCATCGCGGGCGAGCAAGATAACAAGTGCGGGTGGGGTGAGTGGCACTCGGCGCACCGCGCAGGCTACACCTATGCGGCACGTTTACCTTTGGTTCTGCATGTGGCAGAGCGGCCGCTCGTTCTCTCCAACGAGCATGCACACACTTTTAAGATTTCAAGAAAACCCTCTAGGTCAGCTCAATTTTTTTTTAATTCTCTATGGTCGTGTTCCAAACAACTGCTAGAAACTTCCGCAAAAAAAAAAAACTAGTAAAACAACCGCCTAATTTTGGACTTGAGAAACCCCAACACAACAGTCCAACTGAACTAGACTACCCCTCAATTTTTTTTTAAAATTAACCAGACTAGATCGTGTCATCGTGGGCGAGATAACAGGCGCGGGTGGGGTGAAGTTTCCCCAGTATTTCGGCTCACCCACACGCCCCACACGGTGGCACGCACACTCCTTGACGGCCGCACTGTAGCGCATTGATGAACTACTCCGCAGCCCGGTCCGCATTGAAGACGCCTCGCCGCAGTCCCCACCCACTCGCCTTTTTCATCGCGCGGAGACGAGAGAGTTTGCGTGCTGCCTTCCTCCCTTCCTTCATCCCTGCAGAGTGGCAGTGGAGAGAGAAAGAAGAGCGCAACAACAGAAAGCGCACCCGCTCCTCCCGCTCCTCACGGGCCGGCAACTCCGCCGCCTCCTCGCTCCCTCCGCCTCGGATTCCCCGGCCGCCGGCCCGCCGCATTCCCCCGCCGACCCAGCGTACGTCGGCGCCTACCCCTACCCTTCCTCTCTTTCTCTCTCTCTCTCCGTGACCGCGCGTGCTAGTCGGAGAGTCCGGCGCGGCTGGCCGGACGGCGACATGCACTCGATTCCTCGCCGGCGTGTAGGGTATGCCAGGGACGGTCTCGGCTCGCCGCCGCGGTTCGTGCGAGGATCGCCGTGGTATCTTCGGCCGATTCGCTTCGCCCCAAGGCTCGAACCCTGCTTTTCCGTGTCGCCCGGCGGGGTTTGTGGGTGGGTGGGTGGGGTTTTAGGTTCGCAAAGGTCCGCCCTTGTCACTGTCAGGGGAGATCCTTCTTGTTCCGGCGCGAGTTACCGCCTCCTGCTAGCTTTAATTTGCCTCCAACATTCTGTGGTAGGTCCATTTGGTGGTGGTGCCCTCGCTGCGTTGTCCGTTCGTTACTTTGTCCCATCTTGTCCCCGCCCTGGCTCGTCGATTTTGGGATGCTCCTTTGCAGTGACGATTTAGAGCGGATTTATCTTCTTCTAACTTGTACTGCGGCCTCGTACTGGATCAGGGTCGTCTTGTTTGGTTGGTTGTATGCGAGCATGTGTGGCTGACCAACTGATGCATGGCTTTGGTGTGTGATGGTAATGACATGTTTTGTTTTGTGTAACCTATGAAGAGCATCCAGGGAACTCATTGGGTTTTGGTACTACATTTGCTTCGCCTGGTACTGTGCCTCAATTTTTTTTAGTGTAATGTGGTGTTCTCCGTCAATATAAATGTGCAATATCTTGCATGCCACTGCATAACTGCATCTTACAGATAGTCTTCGGATAATAGAGTCATTCTAATTTTGTCGAATTCACTTATTGAGTGCAGCGATGATTATGAGGTAACTGTAGTCCTACCAAAGGCATAATTGTAGTTAGTGCAGCCTTACAGGTGTATTTAATATGATAGAGTTGGTTGTGTTTCTGTCTTATGTTTTCGGCGGCGGTAAATAATGGAGTCGTAAAATGTACTGATTTCTTGCAACTGCGATATGATATAATTGATTGTGCAGCATGTTTTTTTACCTGGAACAATGTGTGATAAATGTACTGAAACCATGCTTTTGTTTATTGAACCTTTTGGCCATTGTTACAGGACAAGAGAGTTATCTCATGAGGAACTTTCGAGGTCATAACCCTGAGAAAGGGATGGTTCATCCTCGCAAGCGTTCAAGAAAGAGGCTTATTACTAGTGACAGTGATGATGATGATGACTATACTGACAAGGATTACTCAATTGAAGAAGACGCATCAAAGCAGCTTGTCCTCTATGATCCGCAGACCACACGTCGCCAGCAAAGGGAATTCCAAGTAGCCGAGCCCATATATGACTCTACTCCACTGCAGCAAATACCCCCGAAGACAAAGTATGGTGGACACTCCAGAGTTTTACCATCTATTGGGCACTATACTGTACAGTGCGCCCAGTGCTTCAAATGGAGGGTCGTTCCAACAAAGGAGAAATATGAAGAGCTGCGTGAGACTATTTCCGAGGAACTTTTTGTGTGTGCAAGGGCTCGTGAATGGAACCGTGTTTTATCATGTGATGATCCAGAAGATATGTCACAAGATGGAAGTAGGGTGTGGGCAATTGACAAGCCAAACATTGCCCAAACTCCTGTTGGCTGGAATAGGGAGGTCAGAATCAGGGGGGAGGGTTGCAGCAAGTTTGCAGATGTGTATGCCCTGTTCCTTTTCCTGCATTTGCACTAATACCTGTGATTTGTTATTATTAAGTCTTTTGGTCATTTCCATGTTCAGTCCCTCAACTGTATTTTCTTGAGAAACTAGTCCTTCCACTGTACTTAATAGCTTTTGCACCGTATCACTCATGGAATGCTTTATCTGGTTCTTGATCAGTCTCTTTGCTTAGTTACAACTGGTAAAGGACTAGCATGCCCTTTGTGGTTTATCCCTGTTAACTATGATTCATGAAACTACACAGTTTCTGTACTCCATGCCTCGTTTTAAGGAATACTTCATGCTTCTTAATAGAATAAAACATTTGCTTCTTATAATATGTCAGTTTGAACAGCCATTTTTTTCTTTCTGAAAAGGAGGATAACCCTGTCTGCTGTTGAGCAACCATTTATATGTTTATCAGTTTTGCTGATGCCAATTTAAACCTCTAGTAATCATGAAATCTGTTCTCCAAAGTTGTTTGCTTATGGTATTCCAACATGCAACATACTTGATCATAACAATATTTGAGTTATTTTGCTTCTCTCAGGTATTACACTTCTCCAGCTGGGACAACGTTGAGGTCAATGGTTGAAATTGAGAGGTGTGCTGATGAATTCATATTCTGTTTTACCTAGCGTTTGTTACTTATGGCACCCGATTGATCTAGCACTACATAGCCAAGTTCTTCCCAGAAACGATACAATCGTCGTTTTGATGTTTCAGGTACTTGGCAGAGAATCCATTCTACGTTCGACAAGGGGTTTATTTAGGCCAGTTCTCGTTTGCTACCCCAAAGCCTCTGCAAGAAGATTATGTCAGGAAGCGTAAATATTCAGCAACAACTCGTGAATTACCGGACATTCTTGAGCCAGTTGAAGGTGTGTGAATTCAGACTAAGATTTGCTGTACTGTTAGCCCTTTCTGCTATACATTTTCAGAAATATTTTCTTATCAATCCCCTAAGCTTCCAGATAGTGCATGCTTCAAATCAAGTATGATTGTGGAAATGGTAACCGTGGCAAATGCCTTTTGGAAACATGTGTGTTACTAACATTCATCCTCCAAGGAAAATTGTTAAATGAGCATGGAGCAATGAACGAGTGCATGAGTTGCACTACCTATTACACCCTCCGTAAAGAAATATAAGAGCGTTTAGATCACTATAGTGATTTAGTGATCTAAACGCTCTTATATTTCTTTACGGAGGGAGTATGTTCTACATTCATCATTCTTGGTCTTCGTACCATCTATAATGTTTTTTACTGACTTGGCAATGTGATGCATACATATTCTTTTCCCAATCATGCCATTGCTGTTTCCTGACATAATTCTGTATGTGTGTCTATTCTTTGTTTCAGTGAACCCACTGTGCTGGGCAGCGCCTCCTACCCGCAGAGAGCAGCTTCAGATGGGGGCTTCAGCTTCAAACCCCGTCGACCTCGACGGCGAACCTGAGGTGTTTGAAGCACCACCCATGCACACCAACAGGAGAAATCTGAATCAAGCGATGCCGTCATGGAGCGGGCGCAAGAAGAGAGCGGCGTCGTCTGAAGAGCCCAAGAAGAGAACCATGCAGCAAGCTTCGGCGTCGATCCGTCCACCGTCTCCACCCAGCTGGCCACGCCGCGGCCAGCCTCAGCGGTTTCCCAGCGACGTCGAGCACGTGCTGTTGTGAGCCCGGAAGCGCAGCTTCCTCCGGGTCTTCCTGTGGGTTTGGTTTCATTTTGCCCTCGACGAACATCGAATCGAGGAGGCGACGATGGACGCGGTTGATCAGATCAGATCGGATGCCCGAAGCATCGAGTTTTGGTGTTGTGAATATGATGCCCAAGGCAATGGCGTAGGCCGTAGTATCCCCTAGATATAGGTTCGGTAGCTGGTTTGAGACTTGTTAGGACGTGTTGCTTGTACTGCATATATATGTATGCTCGTATGGTATGGTATGGTATGGTGGGATTACGTGTGTCTTGACTGAGTAAAGTTGGAGCAGGCCCTAATTATGTGATCCCTTCGTTGTCTTAACCTGGGAGTCAAGTCATTTCTCATCTCCCAAGTTTGAAGATGTACAATATGTTGGCGATGAAGATGACGGTGAGGGGAGGGGGGAGTTCCACTCCAAGATCCGGGGCGCGAATGCAGATGAGGACTCCGGGGAGGAAGCAAGAGAAGAGGAGACTAAAGAAAAGGAGAAGATGATTTCTGTACAAGGAGATGCTACAAGATGATCACAACAAGGAAGGAAATGGAGGCTAAGAGGAAACAATGACGTTGCCTTTAACAGACAAACCATCACCAACTTTTTGCAGGTCATCTTCAGAGTGTCTACTTGGATCCGTACGTGGTCATTACTCAGCCGTGCGGACCACATGGAGCATATGGATATTGGGTGCAGCCGATGGGAGATGATTGCACGGGATACATATAATCGGTTTGGATGACGGTCCAATAATAGGATAGGCGTTTAGTCTCCTATTCTTTCTGGCGCCGGTTGTGGCTTTTATTTTTGGCCGCTTGTGGCTTTTCTTTATTTATTAAGATTTTTGTTTCTTTTTGAGACTTCTTGTTCGAACCTTCGGGAAATTTTATTTTAATAAATGGCTGTGTGCATCAAGAGATGCAGAGGCCGGAGGTACGCCTCCTTTTCAGAAAAAAAGAGAAAACAAGAAAGGGCACCTGACACATGGTTGAGGAGCGCAAGGCAGCCATTTAGCAGGAGAAGTTAAGGGTTATGGGAGAGGAGGTGTTGACTAAGAAAATGGAGCAATATCGAAATAATATTGTGTTCATGGGTACCAGTGTCTCTTTGTTTTCAACTTAGAGGCAAAATATTTGCTTCATCGATTAACTAAGAGAAAAGAGTTGATGAAAAACAATGCGAAAACAATGCAAATTTGACCACATGCGGACTACTCTTCAGCCCGCACATGCAAACCATCAAACCCTCCCAACAAGCTACAACTGCAAAACCCTAACACATGGACAAAAGTTACGCCCATCAGTGGCGGAGGCAGGGGGTGGCCAGCAGGGGCCAAGGCCCTCCCCATGATCACACTTTCCTTTGTATTATGCATGTGAACAGTGAATATTTTTTCATTTTTCTTTAAACCGGCCCTCCCTAAGATCAAATTATAGGCAATCCTGCCTCCGTCACTGACGCCCATCAAAAACACCTCGACAACAACATCAGACACCACCAAATGCACGATGATAACAAAAACCAAGAAAACGAACCATGAGACTGTAAACCACACAACAAGCCACCGCACACGGTTTCCCTATATCATCACTCTTCTTACTTTTGCTTCCGAGATATTTTACCAGATAATGAGGCAGATGCCGTGTGCTGCGGAGGCAAGCTATGATGGTGAGAGAAAGCAAAAAATAAAATAAAAGATGGATTTACCATTGAATCAAAATCCAACGGTTTTAAACACCACCCACGACTAAAACAGTTAACTGAGTTTCTAGTCTAGATCTCAAAGAATAAAAGTAAAACTGTGCAATTTATAATTATTTTCTCTGAAAAATACAGTTTGTGTTTGGTGCAAGCAGGGCTGAACAATCTGGTGCCCGTTGCTGGGTGGGTCCCACAGGAGAGAGAGATATGCGGCTAGGGGTCCACCCGCAGCGACAACTCATTTGAGATTTGAAGGATGATTTCGGGCTTCCCTCTCTTTTCTTCCGCATCCCCGCTTCCCAGCTCCATCCTCGCACCTCTAATCCCCGCAGCTTCGACCCATTCTTCCTGACGGGTTAGGGTTTGGTCACGAAATCGCCCTCCATCCCACGAATTCCCCCCCATCCCACGAAATCGAAGGGCCGAGCTCACCCGCGCGGGGATGATGGGCCGCCCGGCGTCCGCGTGCGGCTCCGTCGCCGCCGCGCGGGAGGCCAGCCTCCGCCTCCGCCACCGCGGGCCTCGACTGCGCCGGGACGAGCTTCCTCCCTCGCCCAGATCTGCCCGGCGCCGCGCCCTCTCCCCCGCCGCGTCCCCCGTCTCCGACCTTCGGGACGCCCTTCTTCACCGCCTCCACCTCCGCCGCGCGGCGCACGCTTCGCCGCCGCCGTCTGTGCCTCGGGGGATCGGGCCGCTCCCCCCCGCCTGCGCAGCCCCGGAGTTGCTCGACCGGCTTGACTTCCTTGAAGCCCGCCCGCCTCCCTCGTCGCCTCAGTCTCCGCAGCGCGTGGCGCGCTCCCCTACTTCCGCATCCCCCGCGCAGGAGGCTCTCCGCGCGGCGCGCTCTTCTCCGCCTCGATGGATCGAGAACCTCTTCTCCGCCCACCTTGCTTCCGCGGCACCCACCGTGCTGGGGCCCCGCCGCTGCCGTCGCCGTCTCGGCGTCGGCGTTGAGGAAACCTCACGGCGCTGCGCGTTCTCCCCTGCTTCCGCACGCCAAGCTCCAGGCCCCTCGCACATGGGATTGGGAGTGGGGCTCCCTCCGCCGCTGCCGTTCACGTTCTCGTGCTCGGTAAGTCGGCTTGAATTAATTCACTCATGGATTGAATGATTTCTATGTTTAGCCATTTTAGCGTTGCACTCGGCTACGGCCTTAGCCACTGCACTGCACAGTGCACATCCATTGTGCTGGACCGGGAGGGTTGCCGGTTCGGCGACCAAGTCGCCGAGGTAGGCATGGTAGCCAGAGGTGGAACTTACGTACATGCCAAGGAACATATATGCCAAGGAAGAAGCTCAGGTCGCCCAAATCTTTCATGTCAATTTAGCGTGTAGTGTAGCCTGTCGCTGATGTGCTGAATGAGCTGCTGGAGGAAGCAGTGAACACGATACCATCGACATATAGGAGGAGGTAGGAGACGCCGTGGCGGTAGATGAACGGGGAGTGCGTACCGTGAGGAAGGAGGACGTAGGAGACAAAGCCGAATGTCGTAAGCAACTACGTGTAGTTCCAAATTATTTGAAGTTTTAGCTTTGTTCTAACTGAAACTTTTAAATTTTGACCAAGTAGAAAGTATATCAACATAAAGCACATTTTTCTTACTTTATATATTCGATGAGGGCAAATTCGAATATTTTGACCTAGGGCAAAGGTAGAAGTTTAAACAATTTGGTAAGGAGAGAGTATGTACCTTGATATTTTTGTTAACTCTGTACCCATGAACTGCTTATGCAATGGTTTGATCAGTTAGATATTTATGAAGAAATGGATGCAACTAAGATGATTTTAGTGGGCTTGTCTTGGTAGTTTGTTCTCTAGATGTACATTGCAAGTGATAAAACTAAAAGATTAATTAAACTTGATGGTTAGCTATTTGTATTGCCACAAATAAACTACAAGGTCAATGTGTTAGTGTACTGATCCGAATTCTGTTAAATGAATGCTTCTTTTATATTGAACAGATCCATTTGTAAACTTGTATACCTATTTAATGCGTAAGTTACAATACAATAACAAGTTACTCCAATTTTGAATGCCAGCCGTTACTCACACATAGGATGAATACGATGGCTATGCTGCCGGCCTCACTTGTTTACTGATCAATCGAATGGCTTCGTTTAGCCATTTTTGCGTCGCAAGTTTACAGAATAGCTAGGCAATACCGATGGCAGCCTTCTCACATATGAAGTGGATGTTGAGCTCCACATTTGTTGCGACTGTAGTGCACAAGTTTGGTGGAGAGACACGCAACTAGTTGCAGTAGACGACCGCGTCGCTATCAGCATTGCAGATACCGGAGCCAAGTGCACTAGTCTGCGGCATTAGCCATGGCACAGTGCACATGCTTTGCGCTAGACTGGGACACGATGGGTTGCCGCTCCGGCGACCAGGAGACAAGAGTCGCTGAGGTAGGCACTGTAGCCAGCCAGTGGTCCAACAGATGTCGAGATGAAGGACAGTAGGGGATGAAGCCGAGTGTCGGGAGGAAGAAGGGTAGGGGATGAAGCCGAGTGTCGTGAGCAACTCCGAGTTTCTTGCAAATTATTTGAACTTTTAGCTTTGTCCTAAGTTAATCTTATTCAGTTTGATCAAGTCTACAGAAAAATATATCAACATGTACAACATGAAATTAATTTCGTTAGATTTATCATACAATTTGAAATGGAGAGAATATGTACCTGGCTATTTTTGTTAACCCGTATCCATGATACGCTTATGCAATTCTTTGATCAGCTAGATATTTATGTAGTGCAACTAAGTATTACTCCCTCCGTCCGAAAATACTTGTCATCAAAATGAATGAAAATAGATGTATCTACAACTAAAATACATCTAGATACATCCATTTCCGGACGGAGGGAGTACTGTTTATGGACTTGTCTCGATAACTTGTACATCGCGGCCGATTAAACTGAGTTATTAAAAGCTTGTGCAAAAATGTTTACCTATTTGTGTCAATCTTAAAATACAATAACCAATTTTTTTCCTATTTCGATTGCCAGCCTTTATCCGCACATAGGACAGCTTCGATAGCTATGCTGCGGGCCTCCCTTTCCATGATACCACCTAAAAAACCATCCGAAGTGGAGACATCTGGCCCAGTTCTTATAATCACCTAGCCGGAACTGGAAGCACTTTCTTCTCCCCATACACTTTCAAAATTCACAAGTGTTAGTTTCCTGTGTAGTACTTCCTCCGTCCCAAAATTCTTGTCTTAAATTTGTCCAAATACGGATGTATCAAGTCATGTTTTAGTATTAGGTACATTCGTATGTAG